TTTCGCATTTCACCCATCAATCAAAGGGCTAATGCCGTTTGGACTCCAGAAATTTCGGCTCCGAGCTCATTTTAAAAGTGGCAAGATCACCAAATCCGCTAAAAACTTGTATATAGGGGTAATTCAACATCCTGATCACGAATATGACATTCATTTTTTGGCGCTAATGGATGACACTACGGTTACCTGCGCTCTGCTAAGGCTGAGCCCAGGAGGTAATCGTAGTGTCCTCTCTTGGCGCCAGCGCCAAGAATGAGTGTCATAATCAGGATGTTGAATTACCCCTATATACAAGTTTTTAGTGGATTTGGTGGCTTAGGCAATTTGAAAATGAGCTCGGAGCCGAAATTTCTGGAGTCCAAACGGCATTAGCCCCAAAAAGTGACTTGGACTAAACATCATATAAGACTTTTTCAGGTAGCGGCTCGCAACCAGGACTCCTCATCGCATCGGTTATCCTTCTCTACTTCGTCTCCATGTGATAGAACCGCATAAAGCCAGACCGAAAGCTGTAAAATCATGGCAGTTGCCCTAATAATGTGAAAAATTAATGAACATGACTAGTTGTATAAAGCTCAATTTATTACAAGGAATGTAGCATAAAATTTACAAAATCAATCATCACAGCAGCAATATTCTTCAGGAGAAAAATATACATGATTTTACAAGAATGAGAAGATTGAGGGGAAACATGCGGTAATAAGAGAAACCCTGCTGGCGAAAGCAATCGGACCGGTACCCAATTGAACATACTCTATACAAAAAATATTTTAAAAAAACGGACCAAGACTAGAAAATGAAGCTACCAGGGAACCTCTACGAACAGGTTACCTAGCGATATTAAAGCGACATAACTTCATTGAAATCAAAGCACTGCGCGAGGGAAATCTGATAATTAGGATGGACAAAAAGCGTCCCAAACATGTAATCGCGGAGGATCAGTGATTGTACGCACCTTTGCGCAAAAGATCATTTCCAGACATTACGGGCAATATGATGTCGTCCATATTGGGGCATACAAGATTCTTTTCGATAAGTAGGCGGAGTTTTGACTCGATCCAGTCCGATACAGTAGTCATATCAACTGACCGGTCACCAACTTGAGGAACAGCTTTAATAGAAGCGATGGGTGGTCGTCGGAAAGCATACCTAAAACAGCATGTATTTTTGTAAACTTGAGAAGAAGCGGCTCAATTCAATTAGATGCAGCAAGTGATACGAATTGAACTTGAACAAATCGCAGAGGCTCACGGTTACTTTGTACCAGGACAACGGCGGCGAAGGCGCAAAGCAACACAGAAAGGGAAGAAGAAATGCTGAGACAGAGCACTTCCTGGCATTGGGGAGCAATTTTTTTTCAAAATACGGCCCCCTCAGAAGTCAGTCCACCGGAGCTTCAGTGAGCGAACATTCTTTCTGGCTTCATGCGATCCCCTGCTCTGCATGAGAATTCCCGAAGCGCCCTGCTAAGAGAGGTGTGCGTCGGATACAGCGGCTGTTTTGCTCTACTAGGACGCGATCGCCGCGATTTCCCACCTCCTGAGTGTCTCTGGATGGCATATTCTGCTCCGGACAACTCGTCCGCACCACTCAAATTCTTGATAACTGGATTTATTCTGGGAATTCACTTCCTTATAAACTACCAACTTGGAATGTACGCGATCAAGTCCGTATACCTGTCCACACTAACGAGGTCAGGGACAATCTATTACGTTTACTGAGTTTCATACACCTTTTGCATTTCGATGAAGAAATATTTTGGGCACATTTAGCAAATCCCTGCTTGGTTAAAATAAGATAAACCAGGGTAGGATAAACCAGGATACGCCATGAAATTAAGCACAATGTTTGCAAGAAATCAAGCAGGTGAACAAGAGGGAATGGAAGGAATGAGATGGACAGAGAATAGCACAGAAAAGCTCACCACAGCCGATCAGATGGAGGTGGTGGGATGTTTATCGTGATTGGACCCTCAAGCATTTCCACTTCAACATTCAGAATGAGAGGAGTGGAAGACACATCCTCGATTAACTGAAAAAAAAATAGTTTTCATTACCAACGATGATCAAGCAGATACATCCAGCACTTACTTTAGCCACTTTCGGGAACTTGGCTGCCTTTTGGAAGAAACTGCTCTGTGCAGCACGTTCTACCAAAGAAATTATCTTCTTCCCTGTTCGCTCCTTCGTACTTGGGCTAAAGA